CCCATACGGTAACTTCTGAGCTCAGGCCTCAGAATAAAGCAACTTTGTTAAATATTGTGTGCATTATCCCACTTAATTCTCAAAACAATTCTGCAATACAGAATGGCCCTTGTCATCAAACCGGGAAACTGAGGCGTGGAAATGTGAGTTGCTGGCTTAGGGTCACACAACTGATAAAAGGTGGAGCTAGGACCCGTATCCGGGTCTGTTTTGTTTCACAGCCCCCGTGTTCACACTCTGTGCTCTGCCTCCTGAGTCACAGCAAGTTTCTTGGGACTTTGATGGCAGAGGAGAAGACAGGTGATCCACAGAAGTGGAACGGGGCATCCGGCTGTGAGCTGCTGGGGGAGATTCTCCGGCTTCTGCATGGAGAAAGTCCTCCCTCCACCACAGCTCAGCTTCTGCAAAAGCCCAAACAGGGTGACACCAGGCCAAGGGAGCAGCGGCAGTGCAGGGCCCAGGTCTGCTTTTGCTCAAGCTCCTGTTCAAAGCTGAATAATCGGGAGCCCTTCAAGAAGGATTTCTGAAAAGCCATCAGGAGTGAATCATTGACTTAGGGAGGCGATGAATCAACCGGGAGTTCATAAAACGGCAAATGAATCGGGTGTGAGAGCAACGGAGCCACTGCTATTCCCCAGAACCCTCCAGGGACAGAGAGCAGAGAGAAGAGAAATAAAAATAACACGGGACCTTATGCCTGCCACAAACCCAAGGCAAGGCCTCTTTCCGTGTGGGAAGACAGAGTGGGAGAGAGGGACAGGACCCACTGGTGGGTGAAGTGGGGCAGAGGATGCTCCCAGGGCACTCTGTGATCCCTGGGTCCGGGCTGTGGGTGTAATTAGCAAGCGCCTTTTTCCCTTCTCTTCAGGAGCCCTCACAAGAAAGAACACTGATTTTGACGAACACCCAAAATAATGTGAGATCAGGCACCATGCATTATGCATGAGGTCTGATTTAACATGAACACTATTTCTTGTGTACGAGACCATATGCCTCCGTGCTGTCTCTATAGCCTAATAATACCCAGTCCCACCCTGGTCAGGCTCAGCAGGGAGATGTGTCCACTGCTGTGTGTGGTTGGAGATGGGGTGGGCTGGGGAAGGGTTGTAGCACAGTGCTCCTGGTCCTCGGGTCATTTGAGGAGAGTCCATTAAGATGCTCTGAAGGGAGGTGGGAAGCAGGGGGTGGGTTATACTCTTGTAGTGTAGAGAGAAATGGTAGCGTGTGTGTGTGTGTGTGTGTGTGTGTGTGTTTGTGTGTATGACATCAGGAGCCTGTGACGAGGTAAAACTGGGTTCATCACAGGGCCATGTGCATAGCTAGGCTTGACTGTTCAAGGATGATGGTGGAATGGGTAGAGCTAATTGCTGTGTATGTTTGTATATATACACGCATATGTATGTGTGGGGGTGTGTGTTTAAAAAATAAGATCACACATACATACAAACACACAGCCTAACTTTAATTATCTGAAAGGAGCAGAAAGAGATCTGGGAGGAGCTGGGGCAATGATGGGCAGGGATGGATCTGGAAAACGGTTTGTGGGGTGCTTGGAAATCTTGGAAGGAGAGGGTCTGGCTAAACGTGACAGCGGATGGTGGTGTGTGTTTAATCAAAGAGTACATGGGCTGGACACCTGGACTCCCAAGAGTTCAGTGCCAACCACCAGAAGGCTGGTGTGGGTAAGGCCGTGTGTGTGTATGTGTGTGTGAGCTGGTGAAAGGAGTAATGGGGATGTGTGAGCAGGAGGGATGGAGGAAGCAGTGTGAACAGTGTGTGGCAGTGGGTTTCTGAGCGTGACTGTCTGGACCATTGGACAATTGGGAGGTGGAAAGGGAAAGGTGACAAGCAAGCATATTTCTGTCTGTGTGTGAAGCAGATTTGTTTCCTTTGGAGCCTGAAGTCAGCTCTGCTCTAGCTGGCAAAGCCTGCGGAGTAATCGCCTTGAAGCTGACTTGGAAGGAGGGCTTACTCAACAATTAGGTGTTTCTGGTGACTGGTGTCACGTCCCAGCTCAGGGACCAATAGAGGGCAGTCCTCCCACATGGAGTCTTGAGCGGCACAAGGGAACCCCTGGCAGGCCTAGGGAACACCAACTCCAGGGCCTTCACGTGCAGCAGGAGAGGACAAAACTGAAGAGTCTCTAAGCTGTCTCTGGCAGTGGTCTCTAACCTGAGAGCCCGGGAAGATCTTCTTGGCTAAGCATATGGGAGTAACTGGGCCAGATAACCCCTTCGCTCTACCTTCTGCCTAGGTGGCTCTCCTTTCCGGAGCTCAAGTCCTGCTGTGGAAAGTTCAGGAAGGAAGAAGGCTGGTCCTGGGTGGGTCACATTGACTGATCTTCTCCTGTGCAGTCCCTGAGGCTGTCTAGGATCTTCCAAGTGACTCTAACTGGGCAGCTGTGGTTAGGAGCCAGGTAGAACATTCTGGGGACAAGGGGTGACTGCTTGGGACTTAATGCCAGGCAAAAGAAGCCCGTATAACGTGGGGCAGGAGGTGAGGAGAATACCAATGTGCTTGGTGCTCAGGACGGTACCTTCTGGGTTTGTCTTGATGATCACAGATGACCACCATAGTTACCTTCCTTCTTTTCAGTGTTAAGAGCCCCTCCCTCACCCCTGTAAATGCTCTAGATCAGATTCCCAGAATAATATGGATGTCCCCCACCAGCATGTGGCTCTGGGATCAGGCCTGGATTTTCACACACGCAACAGAATACACAAACATCAGCAGGTAGGTGTTCTCACGAGACCAGTCAAGTTCTCCTCATCTGTGGTTACACGATGACAAGAAATAATTGTGTCAGAGTGTAAAAGGTGGGAAATGGCCTCAGAAATTCCAAGTTTGCCATGGAGAATTGGGCTTCTTTGGAGGTTTATATTAGGGATATGTGCCTCTCTCGGACAAATGAAAAGTCTGGGTAACTCCGCAGCAAGCAGGTAGACCTGCGTACAGGAAATACAGAAGCCTACGACTGATGTGCCCTTCTTTTAAACTGTTTTGCCAAGGGATTAGAACTCTAGGTTGTCTAGAGCAGGAATCTAGAGGAAGAAGCCCTAGGGACTTCTGCTCTGAAGGGGTTATCACTGGGTAGCTATCCCAGGCTGGTGTCTCATTAAGCAAAATCTTCGCACTGCAAGATTTTCTCCCACCCCCTTCTCCACCTTTCCTCCTTTCTTGTTCTACTCCTCAGCTGCCGCTGGTTCTTGGGAGGGAGGCTGCATTGTTTTTGCTATTTTTGAGTTGACTTGCTGAAATAATAAGCCCACCCTCTTGTACAAGATTAAGAGACAATTAGGAAATCAATCAATCAATTGGTGTCAGCTGCAGGCAAGAGGCCAGTGAAAGCCGCCCCTCCTTCCCCCGAGGCCTTTCCAATCTCAAAGCCCTAGTAGACACTCTGGGCAGGCAGGGGCTGGGAAGCCAAGTGTCCTTTGCTTCCATTTTTGGAGACCTCCCCAAGGCAGGGACAAATTTAGGGGTGAAGAATTAGGTAGCAAGGAGGAGAATATGGAATGGCTTCAGAGTTTTGTATTTAACGGGACGTGAAATGAGAAGCTGAGGTAGGGTGGCCAATGACTCCCGACCGTGTCATCTCCCCACTGGCCCACAAGTCACTGTCTCTTCCTTGAGAAGCACAAGGAGGCTCAGCAGGGTCAGGAAGAAGAGCAGAGACTCCGGCGCCCATCACAGGGCTATTCATGAACTAAAAAAAAAAATTAATTTAATTTAAACAAACTTTTAACAAGGAGCAGAGAGTGAGCGAGCTTTTGAAAGGTGCGGGAGCCTTTGTGTGTGGAGACAAGACCCCTTTGGACTTGAGGGGCAGAACCCAGAAAAGGCACCAGGAACCAGCAGTTATTCCAAGGTTCCAGCCCAGCCAGGGGACACCAGTTTGGGGGCCTGGAACATCTAACTCAGGGCATCACCCAATCTACCAGCTAGAGCCAAGGGCTCTTCAAGGCCCAGGCCTGAGCAACTTCCAGGGCCTGCAGGCCTCCACATACCCCTTTCACCAAGGGAACAACTTTCTCTTCAGACAAACCACTGTGCCTTCAAGCTTTGCCCCACAAAGAGCAAGAGGGACTTTGTATGATTTCTCCTGGGAAGGCAGAAGAACCATGGTCTATGGTAGAAACGGGAAGTTTTAAAGAAAACCCTCTTGGATTTTGAGCTGAACTGAGACCTGCCCGTAGTACAGGGGCTACTGAGATGCTGCTACTGAAGAACTGAAAACATCTCAATGCTTTCCCTTCAGGTCCTGATGCACAGCCCTTCAGTCTCCCTTTCACCAGCCCTCATCTCTCCCCATTGTGCTGTCCTAGGAGGTATGTCAAGCCTTTCCCACAGCGTGGCTTACATCCCTGCTACTCTCCAAGAGTGGCTGGGGCTGGTGGTTTGTCTGCAAAGCATAAGTAGCTTTGCCTAAGCAAACAGGCAGGACTCCCTCCCAAGCCGACTTAGTTCTGCAGGACCAATGAATAGACCTCAGTCCAAACCCACCAGATGTCCACGGTGTCTAGGTGGTCTTGGGGATCATTTGTTTGGATGGAGAACCAGTTGGGATTGGATGGAAAAGCTTGACCAAGTTCCTAGTTGCCCTACGAAGATGAAACTTGTCTTGGAGGTACATGGAGTGCAAGGTGAAATCAATGTTAGGGGCTGGCTGGTCAGGCAAGGGAAACAGATGCAAGGTTGATAATCCAGGAAGAGATGAGCTGCTTCTTTCATGGCTGACCCCAAGCTGTATATGTGGTGTCAATGGTTTCCTGTCCTAGGCCCTGATCTGGTCAATGGGAAAAGGATGCAATTCATTTTCCCTAGACTGGTGTTCTTTGGGCCAGGTGCCCAACTGCTGACCAAGCAACAGGCAGTCCTGATACTGACCCGGAAAAAGGCTGGCGGTTCCTTTCCAGAATTTCAGGAGAGGGAACCAGGTAGCAGAATCTCACACCTTCCCAGCAAAACAAGCCCTAGCAGTAAAGAGAACAGGACACAGCCCTGGGGTACATGTTTATGTGAGTAATAAAATATTTACTATAACATAAATATAAAGGGAACTTCCCAGTCTACATTATTTTTTTTGCAATAAAGATACAAAGAGAATGCACCAAACATTGTTCCAAAATAATAAAAATAAAATAACAAAATTTAAGCTCAAACGTTAACAAACAGATGTAGAATTGGTGAAGGGGGAAGCTCCAAACACATCCAGAAAATAAATAGAGATGGGTCAGAAATCAGGAAACCATATTAAAATATCTTTTTCGGTTTAGTCGGGCGTACAAAACCCGGGGAGGGACAACCCAGAAACCAAAAAATAAAAACCAAGCACAAAATGTTTCTTCCCGCCCCCCGCCAGTGTGTACATATCTCACATATTTACATGGTTCCCACCTCACCCCAAATTTGGAGAATTTCTCTCCAGGGTTCCCCCAGCATCCCGAGGGGGCTGGAAAGAGCAGGGGGAAGCGGTAGGGAATTAGGCGGAAGGTTCTTGGGGGAATGGTTTATTTCTACAGCTGGTTAAAAAATAGTTCCAACTTTTCCAAGTTTCGTTCGTTAAGGCCAGGAGGGGCAGGGCCCGGCGGGGAAGCAGCGGCCCGCGGTGCGTGCTCGGTCTTGCGGGTGGAGATGCCCCTTCCCACCCGGGTGTGCGTGGGAGCGCAGACCCTATCCGCTAGGCCAGGAACCGAGCCGAGAGCTCGGGTAAAACGAAACGAAAATGAACACTCAAAATTTTTTTTGTTAGTTTTTTGTTTTTGTTTTGCGTTCTTGGAGGAAGGAGGAAAGGGTATGAGAAAGGGAAAATAAATTAGGCTAGATTAAAGCTTTGGCTATTTCCTGCTTTTATACACAGATGCGGCTCTCGTGGCCTCCCCTCCGGGGCCCCGATAAATACAGTATACAGCGATTTAAATTAAGGGCGCGGGCGGAGTTAGAAGGACCCCAGGAACCTAGAGGCTCCACGAATAAATAAAAACCGCAAAAAATGGAAAAAGAAAACAAAAGAAAAAAAAAACAAGCCCGGAGAAAGGGTGAGGGGCTGGGGCGCATCCTGGTGCAAGAGAAGAGGCGCGGAGAGAATAAAGTGACAGTCCCCCACCCGTGACCTGCAGGCTACAGGGAGTCCGCGCCCGGGAGAGCTGCGGGGGACTCTCCTTTCTCTTCGTACTTTCTCCCGGGAATCCCTAACCCCGCACCGCGTTACCTTTCGCTGTGGGGAGGCCGCTGCCGGGATCCGGCCCCGAACAGCCCGGGGGCAGGGGCAGGGGTCGTCGAGGGTATGGGGACAGGGAGCAGGCAGTGGGCAGAGGGCGCCCAGAGTGAGTTGGCGCATTCCGGATCTTCGCTGCTCTCTCCCGGGACTCGGGCGACACAGCCTCTCGGCCGCCCTTCGCCGCTCGCCAGAGAGGGGTTCGGTCCGGGGTTGTTTGGTTTTGTTTAAAAGTTTCTGTTTTTTTTTTCCTTTTTGTAAAATCCAAAGCAACTGAATAAAGAACAACAACAACAAAAAAAGAGTCCAGACCGCGCGGGCTGATTGCGCGTCGGAGGCACCGCTGCGCCGATGGGGAACCCAGCCCGCAGGGTCACTGCACTGAGCCGGGCAGTGTGTGGTGGTGGTGGTGGTGCAGCGCGGCCGGAGGCGGTGGCGGGGGCGCAGAGGGTGGTGACGCGCCGCCCCCGCCAGGCCCCAGCTCCCCAGGCGCGTAAACGTCGTCCATGGGCGGGTGGCCCGCGCCGGCCGCGGGGGTCATGCGCTTCTCCTTCTGCCGCCGGTTGCAGAACCAGACACGCACCACCTCCTTCTCTAGCTGTAGGCTGTCGGCCAGGCCGGTGATCTCGTGCGCAGAAGGCTTGGGACACTTGAGAAAGTGGCTCTCGAGCGCGCCTTTGACCCCCACCTCAATGGACGTGCGCTTCTTGCGCTTGCGGCCCTGCGCCGCAATCTTGTCCAGGTTGGTGGGACTGCCGCTGGACGAGTCGGTCTCCTCCAGCCACTTGTTGAGCAGCGGCTTGAGCTTGCACATGTTCTTGAAGCTCAGCTGCAGGGCCTCG